CGTTGATGTTGTTGTTGAAGTTGATTGGTGTTGTTGCCATTGCATTGATTATTTTATCACGATGTTTACGTAAATGTTGTCGCGGTTGTTGTTGTTGTTGTTTTTGTAAATGTTGTAGCAGAATGTTGTTGTTTTTGGCACCGAAGTTTTCACTAGCTTGTAGAATCATATTTTCGCATTTACGTCTCGCACGTTTTTTGCATTACAACATCACAAACACGTGAGAATGTTGATGTGAAGTTCATGCAAATGTTGTACAAATATTTGTGTGTCTGTGCGTTCGTATACGAGTGTGTGTGTGTGTGTGTACGTGTGTGTGTGTGTGTACGTGTGTATGTGTGTGTGTGCACGCGCTTTTCCTAGATGGGTCTGCCTTTTTTGTGTCTGCAATATTTTGTTTTTACAACAATTTTACATGCATATGTGTTTTTAAAGATTTCAACCTTCCTTTCAATTATTGTATCAAATGTGCAGGTCAGTGTACATACAACAGACACGTTTGTATCTTTTGTTTATGTGAAACACACGACCAACATGGCAATGATGTGAACTTTTTTTTGATGTAGACGAATTTGTTGGAATTTGCATGAGTCGTAGTAGTGTCAAATTATAAATGAAATATGTTATTTAAATAAAACATACGATGCATCAATTGAGTATGTGTGTGTGTTTTTATGTGTGTGTATTTGTTAGTGTGTGTGTGCGTGTGTGTGTGTGTGTGTGTGTGTGTGTGTGTGGTGTGTGTGTATGTGGTGTGCGTAACACATTTTTTTTATTTCAAAACATCATCACTTCATGCAATGTAGCCTAAGTTACATATATTCTTATTAAATAATATAGGATAAACATGTTTGGGTTTACAATATGCAAATACAAACATACGAACAACACTCGTCTGCATAACAAAACAAAACCTACTAAAAATACAAAACATACAAAAATGTAAACATTTAAACAAACATTTAAACATTTAATAAACATCAAATGACACACACAAAAACATACACAAAATCATTTGAAACCTTCATTTCATTAACAATTTCACGCACACGCACACAAGTTTAACGCCTAAGCCAAACTACGTAAAGTGTTGTTGAAAGTTAAACATTGAATTTGTAGCTAGTTACATTGGCAAGTCAAAATTAGCATGGTGCATGTTTATTTTTGGATCGTTCTCAATAATTCCTTTCAACGTCTGAATTGAAGTTTTTAAAAAATTCATTTGCTAGTTTCATTGTTAGTTTGTTGGCTGGCTGGCTGGTTGACTAGTGATTATGTTTACAACAAGCTAGACATCATTATTATTATCATCATCATATGTAACATCATTATCATTATTGATATCTGTATCATCGTCATCACTATCATGTAGAT